AAAAAAAAATAGCTGGATGCTGTAAAAGTGAATTTGATTCAACATATCCTCAACGTCTACATGGAATAATTTCGTTCGAAGAATTTGGAGAATCAATTCAAAATATTAATCAACAAATCTCTTCTAGGAAACCTAAGATGTTTGTTATGTTGATTTGTATTTTACTTGTAATTGCAAGTATTGTATTATTCGTTGTCGGTGGAATATTAGCGAAAAATTCTGGTACCAGTGGGTTTTCTATATTGATTATCATTGCAATGGTAGTTTTTATTGTTGCATTCCTGTTTCTTTCCATTGGATTTGTGGTTATAAGAAGACTACGTGCAACTAAAATGCGACGAGCAATTGCGAATGAATCGATAAAATATGTTAGACGATCACCAAAACCATGTAGTTGGCGATTGAATGCTTTTACATATGTTACTAGAGGATATCGAGGCCGTCGACGTGTCGTAGTCATTTACAGTGTAAGTATTTTTGCTTCATAATAGAAATATTTGATAAAATTATTTGTAGTTAATAATTGATATTGCAAATTCTGTTGTTCCAACAAATCAAAATATACCGACACAATTCAATCAAGTAGCTCCTCAACCAGTATCAACGTTTAATCAACAGAACAGTATTCCTCCACCATACCCTGGTCAACCAGTTGGAAGATTTTGTTCACAGTGTGGAACACCACGACAAAATCTTACAGCAAAATTTTGTCCATCATGTGGTCAGGCATTTTAAATATAACAATGTTTAATCGAAAGAAAACCCAATCTTTAACTAATATATTATTGCATTTAGGAGAGATGATAACTGGTCTCTGGTAAAATTTTGTTTACAAATCAGCTATGAAAAACAAAGCCAATGTTCTGTTTTTATTTATCAATTATTTTTAATGTTGTGTTTGTTGCAGATATTTCAATAAAAATATTTCTCGTTTTCATGATCATTAATTTGCAGTAGTATATTCAAAAGTTTTTCTGTCATTTTAACGATTTTGTATTCAGTCATTGAACATGTCAGTAGATTATTTTCCACGACATTGTTGGGGAAACACCCTGACTCTATCGATTACTTTCAAGACCACTGAATTAAGAAGATAGTGCATGGAATATGACGAATCTTGACATGCGCATCAAGAATCATGTTGAAGATGGGTGAATGTAGATTTATTATTATTGTTCATCTACCTTTAAGATGAACCTCACAGGTAGTTAATTTATTTTATTACAGAATGTTTATAATGAATGTCTATAAAATGAAAATACTTCAATCGACCGTTTTTTCGGTAAGTGCTTCCGATGAATCTTCGAGTTTCAGTTCGAATTTGTCTGAACCACGATAACGACCGGTTTCAACAAACCATTTGCCTTCAAATTGAGCGTGACTCGTATTCCATGTTAATTGTAGAGTTACTGTATGTCCGAAATTTTCTTGAGAATCACCAGTGCCTGATTCATAGCGTTTGGTTATTACAATTCGTTGAGTTTCCATGGAAAATGTTCCGTCAATGGTAAACTTTCCGACATCATCATATCCATGACCAAATACTCGATCTGATTTACGATCAAATGACAATATTATTTTATGCGGTTCATGCCATCGACCATACTGATAATATCGACCTCTCCAGATTCCATTCTTGAAACAATTTTGTTCATAAGTTTGATAAGTTCGATTTTGTTCATTTGTAGAGTTTTGACTGACAAAAGCGAGATTCGATTGTGAGGGTCGACTTCGATATTTACGATAACAGTAAATAATCAAAAAGATAATTGCGATTAGAGCAAGTACACCACCTATTACACTACCTGCAATGATTCCTGCACGTTGACAACTTGCACCTTGGCATCTACTTCCATTACGAATACTACCTAAAATTAATATTAGTCAATAAGAAATTCAGTTTTCAAATGATATAATTACTTCGATAGCGACTACTACTACTACTACCACCACGAGTTCCACCACCGCCACGCGCACCCTGGGCATGAACAACGATGCCGAGCAAAGCAATAATCAGAAGAAGATGAAATACAATGTGCATAACGATTAGTATTTTCAGCAAGTTTCGATCGTATACTGTATTATATTGTCAATCTCAGTGAATATGTTTACGAAAGAATGTTGATTTGATAGAAATGAATAAAAATTGTTCGTATAATAAGGTGCCAACAGCACTTATATATATATATTAGAAAGAAAAAAGCACGACCATGAATGTTAATATTTTTTTCTTTTCATTCTTTCTGATTTTGTCGGATAAATATATGTGTGCATATTACTAATTTTTCATTTTTTGGCAAGAATAATGAAGCACGATATACATATCGTTTTTTTGTTTTCTGTTAAAGCATGAAATAAATATTATGTCAACACAGCCCAATCAAATGTAAAATTCTGAATAACACGCGTACACGCTCCATATTGAGGGCGAGTGGATGTGGGTATTATTCTTATCTCATACACGACGATCAATATCATTTAAAATATTCATAATATTTGCATAAGAAGTGTATGTCTCTATCTCAAACGTACAATTTAAATTTCCTAAGTTTTGTATTATTATTGATATTATAATTAAGTATGAAAATAAAGGGTGTGGCTGCGGGTGTGAAATAAGAATAGCATCCACCCTCGGGATTGAGCTTACATTCAAAATATATTAGTTAACTGAGTTCGAATTGAGACTAAACTCGATAGTCAGTCAGATTCGAGTTTTGAAATTCTAACGGTGATTTATGTCACATCCCTCATCTACACATTTCATTATGAGATAGTAAATATTTTATATATCGGAGATCAAGTAAATTAGTAACGGTGTGTTTCAGAAATGAGGTCATGACTATTTTCTTCGAGATGAAATAAATCTTTTTTTTGGTTTTTTTTATCATAGATACGTAATGCTTGTAAGCAAAAAAGAGTGTTTGTTGTTATCTTTCATATGAGTCGATGATGGTATGATAATTATATCTCTAAATGAAAAAGAACAAAGAAAAGAAATTTTCTTTTTTTTTGTTATAATAAAGAATGAAATATATTATATAGCATTCAAAATAAATCTAAGTTTATCTTTGTATTTTTCATTTACGAATGCAATCTCTTGACAAAATTATTATTAGTACATTTATAATATTTTTTATTTTTGCTTTTACATTTGATTATATTAATTCTGTTGCTCCAGTAAATGAACGAATTACCAATGAAGAAACATCCAAATGGATTTGGCCACCACAATTTATTTTGAAACTATATTATTGGTGGTGTGAAAATGTTGATCCAATGTTACTTACTAATGATTATTTAGTAAAATATCTATGTTTTCTTTCACCATTTCTATTTGCACCATTTTATTTAATTGGAATCTATGCGATTTATAATAAAAAACAATGGATTCGTATTCCAATAATTATATATTCATTAATGTTTTTTTTTGATTTAAATTATTTTTTTTATCAAGCTTTATTTGGTAAAGAAAAAACACAAAATGTATTATTATTTACATTAGTATATGGTTATTATCAAATATTTCCAATCATTTTAATTTATCGATTTTTACCAAAGAATGTTTTCGAAAATGCATCTCATCGAATTAAGAACAATTAGAATATAAAGAACATTTTCTTAATTGATTATATATACACAAATTTCATAAAAAAAATGATTAATTAATAAATACGTTGAGTAAATTTAGATGCTATTAGGTGTGGATGTGAATGAAAAGATACAACATTCACACCCACTGATAAGGGCATCTATATCACCTTTCGTACTACTCTCAATGCTCATCGACATTAGCAAAGAACTCATGAATTTTTCTGATGCGTACAGAAAAAAACTACAAGATTCAAATTGTATTGAATAATTATGTCGATAAATAAAACAAATATATTTAGTCATGGAAATACATTTAAAAACAACATTGAATCCAGAACAAAAAAATAGGAAAACTAGTATTTCAAAATGTATGTGGGTGATCACAATACTTGTTTGTTTGTGTGTTTTCGAGATTGAATCGATTAATCAATTGTTTGGTCTTACTGCATGTGAATTTGGAGTAGTGATCGGATGTTCGTAGCTTCGCCAAGTGAAGAGACGCATGAGTTCATGCCGAAACAATTTACTCGATAATGTAAAAAGATAGAAAGTTGTACAAGCGCCAGTGGTAGACAAGAGCCCGGCGATATTTACGAACAAATTCACTTGGGCAAGCTGCACATCATTGAATAATGTATTTGTGGTTAATGACAAATAGATATAGCCAACGGAATTAGGAGTTGTCAGCACCGTAAAGTAGACAGACTGTGCTACCATCATTCGAATCAACTGTCGATCAATTGTTTTTTGACGTTGTAGCTTCTCTTGCATCAATGTTGTTAATCCAGTACCAGTTTGAGTTTTATTATTTGATGCAGTGACTCTTCTCACTGATTGTTGAACATGTCGAATGGTGAGCGACCCAAAAATAAGCATGATAATCGATGGACCTAAGTTAAATATTAGGAAATTCCAGATACCATTAAAAAGTGGATTTGCACTTGGACCTGCGTAGCATTTCCTAATCGTTGATGTGTTTTCATATTGAACCAGTACATGGGTATAAAGAATACCAATAGCTATCACCATGAGTGGAATAGATCGAGAAGCAACTCGAAGACTACTCCACGCTCGCAACACAGTAGAAGGCGAACTGCAGAGAAATCTATTGAAAAGAAAGGCATCTTCTTTAAAATTAAATGATGAATATTATTAATAGTGTCTACTTGTAACTAGAGTCATTCTGTCAAACCGAACTTTAAGAAACAACATTGAATTTTATGTTGCAGAAAATTTTGAAGATCCGTCGATTCTATCTTTAATAGACATGACTAATAACACTCGCAGATTTAAACTCTACTTACCGATCAATAGAAGCGAGAGCAATAAACCATGAAGCCAGAGTTCTATAAATACAGAAGATGAAGAAGATTCGCTAAATAGTCTAAAATTAGAGACAATACCGTGAACAAAACAAAATCCATGAAAGAATTTTGCATGTTGCATTTGAGTATTTAAAAACATCATAATTGAATACATATTGAAGAAGACGCAATGGCAAATTTATATAGCTAACAAATAAACCAGTCACGGTTGCTGCCAAAAAGTAACATGCACATGGATTTGAACGAAGTATCGGACGTGTAAACACATAAATGCTTAATAAATGACCAACTGTACCAAGAGCAATTGATGCAAAAGTCCAAAACAAGAAAAAGACTTCATTGGCATAATTAAGAGCATTAATTTCAGCCATAGTAGCATTTGATAATGACATATTCTTGCTAGATAATAATTCTAAGTAATCAAAAAAAAAATAGATGTTGAAATGAGTGTATTTTATGTTGTTTGATGCTTCTTTTTTTTAAATCTAACAATGTCACGCACATGAACGTTCAAGAGAAATTATAGATTCATTAATTTTTTGTCAAAGCAATTTATCGTTGCTTCGATGATTTGCTCGCATGATTTTCTCACATACTGCATGATAAAACAAAATCTGTCAAAACTGATTTTCTTCTTCACTACAATACTGTCAGAAATTAAGAAAAGCAACGCTTCGTATTATTTATCCAAAATTTAACTATCCGTACGACACTATTTTATTTTTCTCTATCTTCATAATGAAGAATAAAGAACACAGTTATCATCTCTTCTACTCTCTCTCTTTTTTTCTGCTTTTTTAAATATTTTGAACTACAGTT